ACCAGCTCAATCCCAAATGCCCAATGAGCTTAATTAATCAATTACCAACCCAACAAGATAAAATGCAATTAAAGATCCAAATGTTTAAAGTGGAGCGAAAAGCGAGCCCTAGATCCCTTTTCGTCATTTCCCTTTCTCCCACCAATCCACAAAAAATAGTCAAACGTAGAAGAGAATAAACTCTATCGTCAGTTTTTGTTGTTTGCTCTACAATAATACAATCTACATTGTAATATAGTCATTATATTGGTGTCGGTTGTATGCTTGTTAATTGCTATTTCGTAATTTTTTATTATTATTATTTTCTTTTTTTTTTTTCCTAGAATGGTAGGCAACAACTGATAAGTGATTACATTCAATTTTATTATTGGAAAATATTTTTTTAACATATTTTTTCATTACATGAAGGGGATACGATTTTAAAATGTTATATAGGACATTCAAAATTTTTGGGCTTGCCCTACTTATCATTAACTGAAATGTTCAGAAATAACAAAAATAGTTATTAAACCAATCAAATAACAAGCATCAAAAGTTAAAAAGTACAAAAAAGATCAATGAACACAAGGTTCAAAGGTACAAATGTCTACTCCAACCACCGACGGATTTAGCACTCGACGAGGACCGTGCTCACCTCTTATCCTAGTTCTGCTAATGACTCAAACACATAATCCCTTATTGAACATCCAAAAAAATGTTTATAATACTCTTCAATAGAACAGCCTCAAAACAGAAAACAAGATACAAATGTTCCAATTACAGAGATAATGTCATAGAGACTTATCTTTTAAGCATCCAAACAATCCTTGTGATCACTATTTACCAAGAACACCATGAATCCTAATTAGTACCCTTTTGGAACCAAACAAATCAAAGAACATTCAGTTCTTCACCATCTTACGCCAAGTAAGAAACCAAAAATCAAAAAGAAAAAAGAGAAGATTCGGAATCTCGAATGAGAACTGTAGCAATTTCTCTCAAAAGCCACACCCGTAATTAACTCCAATAAAGCCAGATGAAGTGTTTAAACCCATAAAAGAATCCAGAAGGAATAATGCTCCTTGAACAGGGGGCTGTTTGGATGTTTTTTTTTAAACTGTCCAATCATGCATTGACACGTATTTCCCCTATTTTTTAACTTGTCATTGA